TATTTATTATAGATAAATATTAAAATTTTTATTTAAGCGAATAATTGTTTAATTAATTTTTATTTACATTAATTATCGGATATTACTTACAATTTCATCTATCTACCAAAATACCTACAACATGAAAAAATATTAGGTTAAAAAACAATTACTTTTTGAGCATTGAATTACAGTTGGCACTCCTGCGGGTTAACCGTTGGTTAACTTAATCGAAGATTGGTGACAGAGGCCCTTAATGCAACAATAAATGATAATTGTATTTCATAAACTTTGATCAATAAGAAACTCAGTTGCAAAAGTAATATCAAACTATATTATAGTTATTAAGAACTAAGTAACAAAGGTTCGGTCTCGATGAAAACGCATACTCTTTCCGTTGTACTAACTTTTGGCAGCAGTTGGAAGTAAAAATACCGATATGAAGGCTCATATTGTGGTATGAGCATATATAGAAATAGATGTAGATGTGTGTGTGTGTGTGTGTGTGTGTGTGAGCGCATGTGTATGATGTATATGAGTGAAAGGCTCATTAAATAATACGTAAGAATAACGTTCCTTTATTCACTCCGAGTACTATCAGTACTACGAATAGATATAGAGAGAGCGATGCACTACGAAAGTACTGCCTTGAATTTTATGACGTCATTGATTTTGACGTACTTCCTATTACGGCTACTAACAATGTTAGTAATCGTAACAGGAGGTAAAGCAGTCAGAGCACAAAGATGACTGCTTCTATGGAGACTTAAATAACTTTGATTGATGCTGAAGAAAATAAAGCATATAATATGAAATAATATAATGAAATTATTATGATATTATTATGATATTATATAATATGAAATTATTTATTATTTTTATTTTTATTTTTATTATTTATCATTTATTTTTTATATTGGATTATATTGTATTATATTTAATATATATAATAAAATTATATTTTTTTAATATCAGATATGCCAGCCATTATTTCAGTTGGAGCTTCAGAAAACATACTGCAATTGCGTTCCGCTTTATAATCTTGAAGTAGTTAAAAAGCGCACGAAACTAAAACGGAACGCAGTACACTTCCATTACGTCATAGCAGAGAGGTTCCTCTCTGATCATAGCATGAGCACTCGGAATAAATAAAGGAAACTCCTAGTATACTACAGTGCTCACTCGGGAGAGCCACTTTTCATTGCGTTTGCCTGCCTGTGTCATGGCTTCGGACGCTCAGTGTTTACATGCGGAACGTCAGATCGATATCCTGTGCACACGCACGAGTGCATTTGACCGACGAGCTTCTAACGGTGCGTGAAGGTGCTCGCACACCTGTTTGATTTACCGTTGTACGATTAAATAGACGGTTAGACGTGTCGACGAGGAGGGAAGAAAGAAGAGAGACGGAAAAACGAAAGCGAGAGTGGGAAAGAAGGGATGCCGGCAAGGCGATGGACCATCTGCAGTGGCTCGTAGTTCTGTACTGACGCGTAGATATAACCAGGAAAAGTAGTTTTCCCGCGTGTGCGGCAGGGTCTATGGGATACAACGTCGCCAACTGGGAGATGATACGCACGAGGGAGGAAAAGCTGAGTCTCGACGGAGCTGAGGATCAACATACGATTATGAACAACATGGTAGACGCGAGGGCCTGTTACAAGCCCAGCGGCAAAGTGAGTGTCGATCCGCACGAAGCACGAAGTTTGAACGAAGTTCAAGGAGGGTTACTTCAGACAATTCTCGAATAATCCAGTCTCACCTTCATTGAGACTTTTGTCTAGAGAGATTTGTCGTTAATCTGACATCTCTTTTCTTGATATTGAAGTGTTAGACAACAGATGATTCATAATTCTATCCATGTTATGCTAAGATATTGCTCGATAATAGATTAACTTTAACTCTCGGTTTAACTTATCTTTTATCTTTGTTTAATCCTACATCCATTTTTACCACTGTAGATTAACTGTCTTGGTCTAATTTATCATCTTTATCGTTCTCTATTCTTTATTTTGTTCTAAATCTTAGAACTAAAAAAGATAAAGAATAAGTTAAACAGAGATTACGATTAATTTACATTGTGTGCGGTAAGAATGGACATAAGAATTAAAAAAAAGATTAAGTGAAACTAAAATTAAAGTTTATATTTATATTGATAAAGATGAACTGGATTAATCAATGTGTTTGAAGTTGGTCTTAAGATTCTTAAGATTCTTGCGGGCAGATCTTATGATCCATTATATCTTATCTTATGATCCATATCTTATGATATATCTTATGATCCATTTATGCAGTGCTTTTTGCATGCGACACTATAATTTGTCATAAATTTCAAATGGCTTGGCATTGATTGTATGAATAATAAGAAACAAAACAATAGGAGGAATAAATATGAATCAACGTGACGATAGAATTTTATAGCATTCAATATATCATTGTGCCTTAGGCATCGATCTGTTTCCTGATTTATTTGTCGTGTGTGCATGTGATGCATCTGTGAGAGCTTTTACACATAGGACGCAGCAATGGTAAGAAGTGACAAAAGATCATGGTGAATATCTGTAATTTCGTTTTGTCATTTTTATATTTAATCTGAAAGAAAACGAGTAAACATGTTTAGATCAATATAATCAGTCCTTATATTTAAGATCGTCTTAAGATAGAACGTAAATCAATTACTGAGTTAAGATATTACTTAAAGCAATCTTGAAGTAAGAAGGGACATGAACCTTACGATTGAATAAAGGTTCGTAATGCTTTACGATTTATTCGTGGAAAACTTTTTATTTTCGATGCGTTTTTTTTTTATATAAACAAAAATAAAGCTTAATTTAAATGACTTGTGTTTCAAGCCTTAGGTAATTGATATACACGGAATTCACAAGAAATCCTAAATATCCTCGCCGATACATTCGAGAAAGAATCGCTCGATTTCGAGTACGTATTTCGATTTCTCTTCTGGCATGAGAATCATCAACGCATAACCGGTAACGAATCAGACGGAAGGGAAAAACGGGAGAAGCACTTGGAATTCGCTTCAACGATTTTACGCTGGCTAAAACGGAGAAGGCTCGCAAACGTTATTGAACTTTTAAATCTTCAATATTACCCATCCCGGTCTCGTTGCTGACGCTGGACGAAAGGCACAGCATGATACTACAACAAACAGCAGGCGTCAGATTCCGAGCACGAGCACTAAGCACCACTAGCACCAACTAGATAGTCACTCGCCTTCGCCTCAGTAGAAGCGGAACGGCTGGCGTGGCCGAGCATTCGCTCGATAGCGCTCGACCCTCGCACGTAACTCTCTCGACAGTTCTTCTTTCCTGTGCGACGAGCGCAGTGCCGGTCGATCTCGTAATCGTCTCGTTGTTCGACCGTTACGAGAAGAAGACGAGAAGAAACGCGAGCCGCCCGCATGGCGCATCCATGTGTACGTATCGCAATTCAAATGTTCGATTCGCCCCCCGGGAAAAGCCGGGATTTATCAAGCCGTTATTTATCCGTACGTAGCCTCCCCCCAATTTTTTTCTGGCCGCGTGATTCTGGTCTCGTAATCTCTCCGTCGTTCAAGATGATGATCGGTCGATGACGAATCGTCGATTCCGTAATCCAACGAGCTCAAAGAAAACGGCGACTTCTCGCCACGGCTCGGTGACACGTTGATGATAAAAAAAGACTGGTGGCACCGATCGAGGAGAGACATTGTTTAAATATGTTCTAATTCGAAGCCGAACGATGTACAGCCCATGTGGCCTAGATTATCTAATGCATGTGGTCAAAGAAATCTATCACGCTTGTATTACCGAGATAAGTTATCGGACTCCAATTGCGTCGTTATCGAATTGTCAATAACTGAATTTTCTTTGATGAGGCTCTGAGACTTCGAATTGATTGCTGGTGGAACGTGGTGATTTCCGATCGGTGTGATCTGATCCCATTAAATCAGGTTCGCCGAATAGAAAACCAGGATCAGTTTCGGAGTCTTCTAGAATCGGAGGGAAAGTCGTTGGCAGTCGTTGCGCGCAGAAATGAGAGAAGTAAGATCTCGGTAAAGAGATCATTGCTGTCTCTGAATAACGACGCGATCGTCGCGATAACTCGGCTCCAGTCTAATTACGCGGATTAATCCCCGCCGCTCCCTTTCCCCAAGTTTACTTTACTTTTAGTTAAGCGTTCGCGGAAACTGCGGCCGCGCACTTTGACGCGCCGCCCGGGCTTGTATGATTTTATGAGTTGCTAATTAGACGCGTGTCTCATTTTCCTTTGTTTCTTCTAGTTTAACGCAGAGTGAGAGAACGGCTCGTGTAGTTGGTTGCAAAACTATCCACACCAGTGTGTCTCTCTTTTTGTTTCTTTCCCTCTCTTCCTCTCCCTCTCTCTCTC